GTATTATCTTTTTTTAAGAAATATTTTACTTATTTATTTACATTCTTTGTATTTTTATCCTTAACCAATTAATAATAATATACTTACAATATTAAAGCTTTGTCTTTTCTTAATTAAGAATAGTTTTTTTTTATATATATAAAAAATAAGCATATTAGAAGTTGTGGATTATCCACTTCTAAACTAATATTATTCTTAGATTTTTTTTTATCATGAATTCTTTTTTCTACTTGTCTTGAGTGATATTAGATATCTTCTTTTCTATTATGTCATCATAGGAAAGATTGTAGAAATAAATAATGCAATGGCACAAATGTAAGAGAAAATGAGGAAATTAATATTTATAACGCATTAATTTAATTTACCACTGCAAGAAGCAACAAGATTGGTAAGAAGTGAAGTTATAGAGATGATTGAAGCAACTTCCATATCTATACCAAATCATATTACTTCTCCTATAGTAGAACACCTTTAGACATTAAAAAACCAGGAGTTGACTTATTTGAGAAGTTTGATGGTATAAGATCAAATTTTCAAGGATGTATCAATCAAATAAAACTAATGATTAAATTCCAACTTCAAAACTATTCAAGTCTAAGATCATAAGTCAGGTTTATTGAATAATTAATTTCAAATTTTGCTTTATAGTTTTCATCTTTTTTTCGAAAATATGATTCCATATTAGATAATTTGAAGGTTTTTTTGGCTTACTTTTGATCTTTGTATGGAGAACATAAAACAATTTGTATTACAACAAATACGATTAGTATTTTGTGAGAAGAAAATCAATTAGTAACATTATATACTTCACAATTTTGACAACTTGAAACTAATATCAAGTAGAAGCATGTTGCATTCATCAACCAATTTTTCTATGATTAAAAATTGAAAAAAATATAGAAAAATAATTTTTTCTTTGTATTTTTTTTTAAATAATTTCTTAAATATTTTGGTAATTACATATTCATATTAAAGAATATTTTTTTAAAAAAAAATATTAAAGCATATAAATATTTCAATGATTTTTTTATAGAGAACAAAATTAAAAAATTAAATTTTTGTAATCATTTATTTAGAAAAAAATTCCAATTTTAGGCTTTATACCACCTTTTAATTTAAATATGGTATTTTAAAAATAATCATTGAATATATATAAATTGATAGAATTTTTTATTTTTTTTCTATTTATATGACATGAAAGGGATAAATTATCTTATCTTTTGCAAAAATAAATACTAAAAAATAAACATGTTAAAAAATTTGAACTAAATTATTAATAAATAAAATTTCAAATTTTTTAAAATTTTATTTAGACTCTTATTATTATATTTTACAATTTTGAATGTTTTTAATAAGTATGTTCATCCAAATTTCTATTAAAATGGGCCATTTTTATGTTCATTTGGTATGTGTTTGAGTGCATGGCTGTTTCAACTGCAATATCAATTTTAATGGCTATATAGAAGTTTGAAAAGGTAAAAAAATTAATGAATAAATATTCATGTGTGAATTACAAGTGGTTTGATTTCTTGTGATATTTTTCTATTGTGCAATATCTGATCATTTGATTTATTTATTTTTTTCATAAGAACAGTTTACTTACAACTTGTACTAATATATATGTATGCGGGATTTTATTATTATTAATATTGTTATTATTTAGTTGCAAAAAGAAACACGAAATGTGTGTGAATGTGTCATTAAGTGAATATAGAATGGCATTTTCTTTTTATTCATTTTTTTTTTATTCATTTTTTTTCTAATAGTTTAAAACATGTCAGGTCATTAATACGCTAAGACAAGTAATAAACTATCTAGTATCACAGGCATCTCTAATACTTTACATCAAATTTTGATATCAATAAAAAAATAAAAAAATAATCTTAGATTCTTAATGTTTTTCAAAAATGGATATTAATATTTTCGGAACTTAAATGAAAGCTTAAAAAATATTCCTAACAAGCAAGTTCATTAATTTTTTTTAAATATGAAAAATAATATTCAAGAAATAAATTATACTTGATTCATTCACATGTTATTATTATTTATTTTAAACCAATAATCAAATGTTAACTACTAGCTTGGAATATTCATTGGTTTCTACCATTCTTATAAATGAGCCACAAAGTATTACAAATCAAAAAAAATTAAAATAAAGTTAAAATGCATCAAGAAATTAATTAATATTTTTATTTTTTTACTTATTTTCTTGATCTTTTTAATTACATTTCGTAAGTTTTGGAAAAAAATTGTACAAAATTTAACTAATTTTCTTTCAACTTTTCTTGCAAAAGTATTGCTTCATGAAAATTAATGTTTGTGACATTAAATTTTGAATTTTTAATCTTTATATTGTGATAAATGATTATTCAAGTAATTTAGATGTAAATTCTTGATCAAAGTTATTATTGTTATTATTATTATTATTATATAATTAGTGTATGAATGAGTGAAGAAGGAGTTGAAAGAATAGTGGACAAATAAATTCATTGTCCAAACAACTGAATGGTGTGAAAGTGGAAATTTCTAGAGTAAAATGTGTGATTTATGAATGTTATATGAAACATCAAGTAATAATCATAAGCTGTCCTTTTCTTCAAGGCTGTTTCATGAATTTCAAATTGTAGCATCAATTTTGTTTTTTTTTTTAAAAAGAATAATTACTTAAACATAATTCACAATACTATTTGCATAAATAATTTAAGTGCAAGCATCAATCATATGAAAATTGAAAATTAAATTCGCCAATTTATTCTTTTAAAAATATTTGCATTTATCTGAATTGTATTATATGATTGTTGTGTGTATTAATTTACAAGTATAGATTTAGCTTTGAAAGTGACAAATTGGAATCTCTTCTTTTGTTTTGTTTTATTCTCTTTTTTAATTCTAATTGCCCTTGGATGTTAGTTGCATATATGTGTACACACATCTTTACGAAATTATACAAAAATTAAGCCTGCAACATAAAAACATTATATCTCATTAGTTGGTGGCAATGTAAATAACAATTGCACAGATTGATTGATTTCAGCTTCTTAATGTAGAAACGTGTACTTGACATTGTTTATCATATATATTCCACCAATTTTTTGAAAGAAAATCTTTCAAAAATAAATTTCTTAAAATTAAGATATATGTATATATATATATATATATATATATAGTACACATAGCACTACTTATAGAAAATTAGAAATTAAAATAGAGTAAAAACTTGTATGCATTCAGTAATGTCTTGTATCCATTTTATAATATTATTATTTTTGAACATGAATGGTATCTATCAAAGGAAAAAATATTCAAGTAATAATACTATAAAAAAAAAATCAATTATACACCTTAACTTAGATTTGTTTGCACAAGAGCAACTCTTCTTGGATTGTTTTGGTTTTAGGATTGTGCAATTTGGTTGAGAGTGCTTTGGAGATGTAGGAATTTGTCCACATTTTGCTTTGGACATTATGGGACTAATACTTGGTTTTGAATTGGTCATATTTGGTTTTGAATTCACCAATTTCTTCTTTGTATCAAAAATCTTAGAGAAGTAAGTTGTAAATGAGCCAACTTTACTTCCATAGGTTGGTTTTGGAGGATTTTTGCTTGGTCTATTTAAAGTGGGCATATCTTGTTGATCAATTGATTTTTTTACAACTCCTAATGATTGATTGCCTTGACTTTTTTGAATTTGAAATTTGGTGGATTTTAATGGCTTTTTGGATAATTTGTTTTCTAAATCTTTCACAACAGTTGACAAATTTGATTCAGCCAATTCTTTTGATGTAATTGCATCTTGTTTTGTTGAATAAGTGCTTGGGTTGCTAATAAGATTTGTATTAACAAATGCATTTTTATCATTTAAATTATTGACTTCAAATTCTTTGAGACATGCCAAGCCATGTAATTTTTTATCTTCAACGTAATTTCTTGATTTTTTCCCCTCTGTTTTTGTCATTCTAGACTAGTTATTGTTACAAGCTGTAAGTTTTATTTTGTTTGAAACTATAGTTTCTTTCATTTATATGAAGATATTCAAACACTCAGAATTGGTAACTATAATCTCCTCAAGTTTTTGAAATGCCCTGAAGAATAATGAAGTAAATTTACAGTCCACCAAACTAAATGACAACTCACAAAATTCTCACTTCCTTGTCTTGATTTAAGTTTAATGCTATCATACTCAATGTACTAACATATTAAAAGAAATAATCAATATATAAAATCTTTGTTGCAATTACCATGTTGAGTGGCAAAGAAACAAAAAAATGGCAAAAGGAAATTTATTTCATGTACAACTACAACATGATTGAAAGTTTATTATTAATATTAAAAAGATGAATTGAATATGAGATGATGCCTCTCTTCATGCTGTGAAAAGGCAAACACAAAACTCCCAACACATGACCTTTTAATATCTGATTTTGCTTAGAGCATCAGACCTTGTATTGTGATTCATCTAATGTAGAATAATACAGAGCTATAGCTTCTTTTATTTTATTTTTTATTTTATAATAAAAACTTCTTTTAAATGATAATAATAGTATAAAATTCTGTTTCATGACCACATTGATTTATTGCAGTAGAGGACTGGTAATTGTACAGTGATGTCTATGAAAGGCTGCTCAGTCCTCCTGCCCACAGAAGTAAATAATTAATTAAATAAATAAATCAATACGTGACTTATGATTTTGAACACAAGTATTGAATATCCCATCTGAACATGACCTAGTTAAGGCTCGTGATCATCCATGCTAATTAAAACCCTGTAGATTTGTGAGCCTCTTACAGCAGTATATATATATATATATATATATACGTATGTTTAAATATATCAATATAGTCCTTTGTGAATGCATGTATATATGAGTGTGTCCTTGCCACTGCATTGTAACGCCACTGGAAACCCCCCGTCCTTTGGACGCAGAATCGTATCGTGTAACTAGAAATATAAAATAAAATACAATGCGTATACCTATGTACATATACATATTCACCTGCAGTGAGAGTGAAGAAGGGGAAGGGGACGAAGAAGAAGACTAGAAGAAGAAGAAGGACGATGACGATGGTCATGGTCGCATTGCGGAAGCCCTAGCCAGCCAGCAATTTGTCTGTATTCCGCTTCGATTTCTCATGCACCTGAATCCGAACCAAGCAGATTACCTTTCCTCATTCTCAAACTATTTTATTATTGATTCTTCAGTGTAGTGCTGACTTTCTGCTCAGTCGATCGGCCCTGAGGGCAGGGGATGGTAGTGGAGACAGCGTGGGGAGGTTTTCTGCGGAGTAATCAGAGCGTTGCGTGACGTAGGGGGAGCACTACGGTGAAGAGGAACAGAAGGAGACGCATTCGGCGGATTGCAATTGGCAGTGGGATCCTCCTTGGTGGTTTTTGGATTAGGTTTTGATGTCCCTAGGGGACAGGGACTCCAGGAGCATGGCGACGGCCTTATGGCAGCCGCAGGAGGAAGGCTTGAAAGAGATTTGTGGATTGCTGGAGCAGTATCGATTGCCTACTGTGGACCAATCGCGCATCTGGCAGCAGCACCAGTCCTGCAGCCAGCTGCCGGACTTCAACAATTATCTCGCTTTCATCCTGTGCCGTGCTGAGGTGCGTTTTGGTTGTTTCCTTGTACTAGCTATTGTTTTCAGGTTGATTGAAATAGCAGAAATTTAGGTGGATTATAATTTAAAAGGGCGTGGACATGGTTGCAATAACTCGAATTCAACGACTGGCTCTCGGTTTGGTTCGAAATTGTAGACCTAGTAATGCCTTTGCTAGATCTTCCACTTTTGTGCGAATGTTGGTGCTAGAGAATTCCCTGTATGCGTCGACTTCTGGATTTTCTCTGAATCCTTTTTCATTTTCATCATCTTGTTTTATTGGCAGCACATTATGGTCATTCCGGTATGTTAATTATCAATGTGCTGCTCGTTTTGTAGCTTTATAGATGGAACTCTTCTTACGCTGCTCACTAGGAGTGTAGCCATCGTTTGTCCTAAGTTTTATAGGTTTATTCCTAGGCTTGCAAAATGCGGACTAAGGGTACAGCTTCATCTCGCTTTCTTAGTCTCTGTTATCATAACTTAACGTCAGAAGCGGACACTTTAGTACGCGAGCTTGACCAGCCTATTCAGTGAAGCCTCTGGACCGATCAGTTCGTATGGCTTGAACTTTAGGTTCCCATTCGAATTTCGTTTCGAATGACTTGGTAATCTGGGATGCCAAAAGTGATCACCACTCTTTGTAATTTCACATTTTGGGCTAGTCAGTTGGTAGGACACTCGATTTATCGCTGATAATTTCTGGAATTCTTTTCAATTTGATCGTGTGGACTACTTATGTTTACCTTGAAACTGTACATTCATCTACATTGTTCATGGTTCTCTCCTGTTTGCGGAGGCAAGGCTCACCCTAGGTAATTTTTGAGAAATAATAACCGGTTGTATTGGAAATCTGACATCATGTCTGTTGCAGGGAGATGCAGTCAATATTCGACAAGCAGCAGGGTTGCTGCTGAAGAATAATTTGAAAAGCAATTATCAGTTGATTCAACCTCCTCATCTGCAGTATATTAAAGCGGAAGTGCTCCCCTGTCTCGGATCTCCAGATTTTGGTGTACGAACAACTGTCGGCACTATAGTGAGTGTTGTGGTGCAGCATGAAGGTTTTCAGGGTTGGCCAGAAGTTTTTCAGGCTCTAGTTCAATGTCTAGACAGCAATGACTACAATCATATTGAGGGTGCGCTTGGTGCTCTTTTCAAGGTGTAGTCTCTTTCTTCAAAGTTGCAAACATTCGCGGTTACTCATCTGAAACTCTAAAACTTATTGTCTTCAGGTCCACAACTATCCAAGGAGGAGGTTTAGAATTAAGTACAAAGTTTGCTTGCTGTGGTACGATTGATGCCGACAAATGTGACGGGATGCTTTTTGTCGAAGTGGAAGTTTGAGACTAGAGATAGTCTTTCACAGTTGACGTGGTGACAGTACAGATTTCTGAGGATTTTCCCGAAATTCTTGATTCGGAGGTTTCAGGATTTGCAGACCGCCCTATTGCCATTTTCATTCCTAGATTGCTTCAGGTATGCATGCAAGTTACTGTTCCCTCTTACTCAAGTGTTTATCTTGAGCATTAGCATTTTCTGCTGTATAAATCATTGCTTTAAACTTGGTCATAATGCCTGCTACTCCTGACATAGTCTTGGATCCAGTTTTTCTCTTCAGAACATACGGTGTTGCGGAGGTTGGCCTTGGGCACTGTTAACCAATTTATCGTCCTTTTGCCCTCTGTAAGTTGGTTCTTTCTTGCTCTCATGGAGAATCACACGTGTACTGTGGCTGCTTAAGTAAATTCGAACATTGTAAAGATCTGGTGAACATTTACATAATGCGAAGTGCTTTGGTATTTACCTTTTTCTATTTTTTCTATGCTTTCTTTCTCTGGTTTGTGATTTTTGGCCTTGAGTTTTTGTACTAGATTTTTAATTAACTTCTACATTTTTTGCTCACAAGAAAAACTGTTTTTTGCAGGCACTTTTTATTAACATGCAGACTTATTTGCAAGGCTTGTTTTCATTAGCTAGTGATAGGTCTCCAGATGTTCGCAAATTGGTATTTATGAGATTTTACCTTCTTGTTTATCTTGAAAATAATAAGGTTTGAATGTAAAAGTAGTAGGGATCTCGTGTTTACTGTGTGCTGCTTCTTGCTGATATATTTTTTATATATACATGCATATGTTCTTATAAATTAACTAGTATGTGAGGAAAGGATAACCATCTGTTCATTGGAACCCACTCCCACACATGTTTTCTGATTCCTGTCTTTCTTGTCAAATTGATAGGTTTGTGCTGCTTTGGTACAATTGTTAGAAGTGCAGCCTAATGCTCTGCAGGTATGTGTACGCATTCTTCTAAGTCAAACGTGTGATCCAACTTCAGGTGGCATGTGTCTTTTTTGAAACTTAATTTTAGAAGACGAGGCAAGCATTGATTTTGGATAATACGGTAGGCTGATTGCGTGGTGCGCAATATTTGGTTGTCTCAAATGTGTACACGGGTGATAGTTTACCTCAGGTTTAAGATCTCTGGTTGCCAAGGTCCTCACTGCTAGTGCAATGTCATTTGTATAGTGATATATTTATTGGTGAGTGCAGCCTCACATGAGGAATGTGATTGAGTACATGCTTCAAGCTAATAAAGATCCTGATAGGGATGTTGCTTTGGAGGCTTGTGAGTTCTGGTACGTTGAGATATTTGCAAATACGGCTTCTTATAATACTCCAGTTCTTAGTTGTATTTTTTAGCGGGTCTTGTGTAACGCCATAACAAAGGACAGTGGCAATAGCCTTAGTAGTTGAGTCTTATTCGCCACTTGCATGTAACAATGTGTGGCTAATTTTAAGGTGCTCCTTGTAGGTCTGCATTTTGTGAAGCAAAGCTACCACCTGATATTCTGCGAGACTTTTTACCGCGTCTTATTGATGTACGTTAGTGTAATGCATTCTGCTCCGGTGTTGATATTTGTCTATCATGATATCATTTCGATCTTTATCCCAGTGAGAGCAAGCAGAAGGGTTGTGCGATGGGTGTGAGTCATCCAAAATCTTAGTTGCTGCATTAAATGTTATGTGGGCTTTTATTGTTAGAAGATCTTCTAATGGTTTATTTGTGGACCATATAGATTTTGTTGGACAACATGGCCTATGCAGAAGATGACGAAGCTTTGCAAGATGGGGATGTAAGTAACCGTGTGTACTTATTAGTGTCTCTTGTGGTGACTCTAATTTGGCGGAGTAGGTTGAGTTTTTGTGTTAAGATGTCCCATTAGCAATATTTCATCATTTATTGCCAGTTAAGTTAGCAGCTTTCACTCTTTTTTGCAGTGTTGTCTTCTAAGCTTTGTCAGTTTCGTTGTACGTCTTGCAGGAAGATGAGAATGCACCTGATAGAGAGCAGGTGCTGAGTGTTTCCCGATTCTGCAGGCCATAATGATCAAGCTATTGAATGATTTCAAGGTTTCATGAAATGTGATTCTTACTGCTGGTATAATGCTCTTCTATTAAAAGAGACATTCTGATACCTTATGCCTCCATTGCTGTGCTTGAGGCATTAACTGGTTAGTTTAATGCTTATCAGGATATTAAACCGAGGTTTCATCAATCGCGGACGATTGGGGGTGGTGATGGTGCTGAAGGAGAGGAGGTGAGATATTTCACTTAATCTTTCAAGTTCGTTTCTCCTTTTTTGTGGTTTCTGAATTTTTTGGGCCGTAATGCCCGTTCAATTATAGCAGAATGACCACAACCGTTGGTCCTTTTGCTGCGATAGTTGACAAGTTCAGGGAGTGATATCTGTAATAATTTCCGCCAATGGCACTTCGTGAATGCAGGACGATGACGACGAGGATATTATAAATTCCTGGAATTTACGGAAGTGTAGTGCTGCTGGACTTGATATATTGTCTACCATATTTGGAGACGAAATTCTCCCAGTTCTCATGCCTCTTGTTCAGGTACATATTTATACGATTTTTTTTGGTTTGTTCCAGTTCTGAAATTTGCAAGGTTACATCATCATGTTGCTTACAAGTGACTTCTGCTTTAGGTGAGATTGTCCGCAACAAAAGATTCGGCATGGGAAGAAAAGGAGGCTGCAATTTTAGCTCTAGGTGCTGTTGCAGAGGGTTGCATTTCAGGCCTGTCACCTCATCTAGCACAGGTTAGCCAAAATGAGCCTTGTTCTGGACTTATGCGCTGCAGAAGTAATGATTGAGCAGGATAGTTTTTGTTTCTGTGTCAAGATGACTGATGCTGCTTTTGTTCCATTTAGGAAGGTCACCTATCCTGCTTTTGACAAAATATGTAACTTGCATTTGTTTTCTCAGTTGGTTGGCAGTTAAGCTTGGTCGCTTATTGTGAATGTTTTTGCAACCGTTAAATTTCCTAGTTTTTTCTGGAGTGGTTTGTCATTGCACCTTCCTTGTAGTTTCCCATAATCTGTTCAGTACATATTTATGATATACCATTTTTAATTTTTGAATATTGAATTTTGTTGGCTCTGTCAGATTGTAGTATATCTTACATCATTCATGGAAGATGTACGACCCCTTGTGCGAAGTATATCATGTTGGACTCTTTCTCGCTACAGCGAATGGATTGTTAAGGTATTGTGAATTAAAACTAGCTGGTTTTTCGGCCAGGAAATGAATATTGTAGAAAGTGGAAGAAGTGACTGCCAATTGTAGGTAAGTGTCTGGTATCGTTCATATCTGATATTGTGGCTTTATTGAACTGTGTACAATCTCTTGTAAACTAGGTTGCACAGACTGCAGAGGGCCAGGTACAATTCGATGCAATTCTTACAGGGTTGCTGCGGCGAATCCTGGATCCTAACAAACGTGTCCAGGAGGCTGCATGCTCTGCATTTGCTACCCTTGGAGAGGTATTTGCTTCTCTTTGTTTCCGCTTTGTGGACTAGTTTTTGTTATTACTTATTTTTAGATTGCAAATACGTGTATTCAAAGAATGTCTGATTGTCCTCTCTGACAACATGATTATACAAGTTCGTGTTCATGTATTAGTTTCTTTGTCAATAAGTATGTCTATTCTCCTTGACAGTTTTACCGTTCATACCCTATTTTTCAGGAAGTCGCTGAAGATTTAGCTCCTCGGCTGGAACCCATACTGCAGCATCTCATGTATGCCTTTGGAACTTATCAGGTGCGGATTTCAAGTCAATTAAATCATAGCGTCGGAGTCTTCTCTTTTACCCAGTATTAGTGTGGAATGCTTTGTACATACTTTTAAAATTGGATTGCCCACGAGATTCCAAGGTGGTTACAAGCTATTTTAATACTATAAGTCTATGAAGCTTAATGATCTTACCAAGTAGTCCGTGATACGTTTATTAATCTACGATGCCCATCCTCGGTGTGTATGTCCGAGGAAGTACGCTATACTATTCCACTTCTCAATCTTTGATATAAAAACATAAATGTTGTTGCAGAGACGGAATTTGCGTATCCTATATGATGCCATTGGCACACTAGCCGATGCTGTAGGCAGTGAGCTCAACAACGTAAGCCGTCTCGTTTCTTTGCTTCGGTTTGGGTTGCGCCGTTGTGTTCAGCAAAGTATGGAATGTAACGAGGCTGTGACTATCCTTTAATTTTTTTTACATGAACCATTGTAATGTTTGGTTTGCAATGGTTGTCATATACACTCATGCTGTGTTTGCCTGCAGCCTAAATACCTTGAAATCTTGATGCCACCATTGATCTCCAAATGGCAACAGGTGCAAGACTATGACAAGGATTTATTTCCGCTACTTGAGTGCTTTACTTCAATAGCTCAGGTATGGTTCCAATGGTCAAACCTGGCTAATACAATACATTTGAACCACAAATTTTTGTAATTGTAGGTTAAATGTTTATCTGGATCATTGAGTTCTTCATTGTCCTATGATGTATAGATACGCCTACGGGATCAATGTCACTCCTTGCCTCTCTTTGAACCGGATATTTAAATGGAGCCCTATGGTTGACATGGTTCTTTTGTTCATGGTGTCTACCTCAATTGTATCTGACCATTGGTCTTTGCTACAGTATAATTTTCAACCAACGCTCACGTCAATGCATGATCTTGTCAGGCACTTGGTCCTGGTTTCTCTCATTATGCTGAACCCGTGTTTATGAGGTGTATCAATCTCATTCGTACACATGGAGTTGCCAAGGTATGAGTGAGATGTTTATCTGTACTTTTTCAAAAGTACCTAGACCTTGCTAATAGTTGAAATATATATTTTTGAATTTGCTGAAGTTCTGACGTGTGTCTATTAAGTACGGATTTTGAAGAACTTGTCGGAAATTCATGATGGCTCTTGTCTAAGCAGTGTGTGGATTCTATTTGATGCAGGCTGATCCTTTGAGGGCAGGCGTAAATTACGACAAAGAATTCATAGTTTGCTCCTTAGATTTGCTATCCGGTCTCGCTGAAGGCCTTGGCAGCTCCATTGAGAGCTTGGTAAGGAATTGCAGTTAACTTGGCGGATAATTACAGTTGTCCAAGTGTCTGGTGGCAGTGTGCTTAGTCTGTGTTCATATCTACTAGAGTCAGCTATTTCGTTTATTGTTTACTTGTAGTAGTAGGAGGTGAGTCGTGGAATGTCTTACATTTTGCTAAAGCTTTTGGTGTTCCACATGGTGTAGGTATCAAGAAGTGATCTTCGGGACCTTCTACTACAATGCTGTGCTGATGAAGCCCCCGATGTACGTCAGAGTGCTCTGGCCCTCTTGGGTGATCTCGTCAAGGTATAAAGTGAATACCACAGAACTTCTATTATGGTTTATGTCAAACTAAATATGTGTTCTCGCGATTTTCTAATTTCCTGAAATGTCACCTCAACAGCGTCATTCGTGCTCACTTACTTTTTTATCAATGGGAAAATATATTCGTGCTCATGTATTCATATTTATGCTGATGAAGTCACTGTCTTTGATAATCTATAGGCTTGCGCTGTACATCTGCAACCTCGACTTGCAGAATTTCTCAACTTAGCTGCCAATCAGCTGGTAAGTAACACCATTTGGAGCTGTCACAAATGACTGCCCATCATAGTCTATCTATGGCTTCTTTAGTCTCTTTTTAGTCTCTTCTTTACTCATTCGTCTTTTCTTATGCGTGGCAGGGACATTGTGTAAAGGAAAATGTTTCAGTTGCAAATAATGCATGCTGGGCTATTGGTGAAGTGGCCATCAAGGTTAGTCTTGTTTTGTATCTTTTAATTCCTTATTGTTGTACGGTTGGGATTTTCAATCTCTGAAATACTTTCGGCAAATACACATACAAGGTTTCTCCAATTACTCTTCTTCTTTGTTTGTCAGTCGTTATTCCGTTAATGATTAGTGTATCTTCTTTTCATATCTAGATAGTTGGTTTATGTTTTAATATCATGCCTCGATCCTTACGAGTTGTTCACAATGGCTAACAATGCAGGTCAGGAAAGAGATTGCACCTATTGTGTTGAATGTCGTCTCTTCGCTGGTGCCCATCCTTTCCAACGCTGAGGTAGGCTTAATCATTCGCCTTTTGTTGGTCCAGGAATTGAGGTTGATTTTATGCATGAGACTAAAATGTCTTCTGTATATGCACTGCAAATACTTAATTTAATTGCACGTATGTGCAGGGTCTAAACAAGTCTCTCTTGGAGAACAGTGCAATTACCTTAGGAAGATTGGGATGGGTTTGTCCTGAACTTGTTGCTCCTCACATGGAGCATTTCATGCAACCCTGGTGCCGCGCTCTGTGCACGTAAGGCCCTGTTTTTAAACTTGGTTTTCAATTTTATAGTCTGAATGTTATCAATGAGACAGGCTTTACTTTGGAGTAACTTCATTAGGTTCCTTCCCTGCTTACATTACTACTGAGATATGCTGTAGATCTAAGTGAATGCGATTTTGTTATAATAATTAGAAACTTGCTCAACCTCTTATATTTTGGTATCTAATTTGTTTGTTTTTTAATATAAGATTTCAAACACTCACTTTTTTTCTCTTCACAGGATACGAGATGATTTTGAGAAGGAAGATGCTTTTCGAGGATTGTGTGCTATGGTATTTACCATGCTGATTCATTTTAGACAGTATCGTGGGTGCAGCCTTAAAAGTGTGGTTTTTAAGTCCTGTGTGAAAGGAATGAGTCAGTATGGTGTTTTCCATCGTGTTTTCCATCATGTGTCCTATAACTATAGTAAGTTATCTCATGAGATTATATTAAAATCACTAACATACAGACTGACCGATTTGTGGGACGGGTTTAGGTTCGACTGAATCCGGGTGGTGCTGTGAACTCATTTGTATCAATGTGTGACGCTATCGGTAGTTGGCATGTAAGCACGACTACTCGTTTCGTCCTTCAGCTAATTATTATGTGCTAATTCAATTTTGCAAGTTTTACAATTTTCTTTGATCTCTGATTCTAGAGGTTATTATTGTGGTTCAGTCAGCTGTTCCACCAGTTCCCATGATAACATTGGCATGGCGGATTGGTTTCAACAGTGCAAGTGTTTTATCTGTCTATTTACATCTTTTGTGATTGTAACGCAGGAGATCCGGAGCACAGAGCTATCTTCAGAAATCGCACAAGTTTTACATGGGTACAAACAGGTATGTTCGTTAACTTTCCTTGTTTTGTGGGTTATATTGAACCTTAAGACTTTTTGCATTTATAGGATTCCTTATAAATGGATCGATCTGACATATAATGTTTTTTGTGCAGATGCTATCTCAATCCAGCTCATGGGAACAATATTTTGGAGCCTTGGATGGCACACTGCGTGAAAAGTTGGTGAAAACGTATGCTCTTTGAGAATGGCATTCAGTTTATTGGGTCTCCTATTCATTCGGAGGCATAGATTGCGCAAATCCTGCGCCACATGTCCCACTTACGGTTATCGCACACTTGGATGCTCGTGGTTCATTCAAGTGCGGTTGTCCCGTCAAGAATTCGTTAATAGTGAGGGAGTAGAGATCTGCCCTAGTTTACAAGCACTCGATTCGATGTGGTTTGCAATTTTACTTAAGCTGACCCTCATTCTCTAGTGCTCGTTGCTTAGTGGTATGTCTTAAAGGATCTTACATAGCCACCCCTTCGACAGTGATTTCAGGACCTCTACTTCAGATTAATATTTGGGCTCCGTGGGCACACTACCAGAACTTCGTATCTGATGCACTGTTACTAAGTAAAGTGCTAACCAGATCCTGTTGGTGCTGATATTGTAGCTTTAACTTTGGAGCTATAGCAATTCCGAGACCTTTTGCTTGCTAGTCATTATCCTTGACGGGGTGTTAGGGTTTTTGTAACAAGTAGGTGACATGCCACCTCAAGCAGTTTAAGTGTAAGTGAGGAGAAGAACAAGAGGAGGCTTTAGTGTCGTTGCGGCTGGCTTCGGCCGCATAAGTTTATTCGATGGAAGTATTTTGAGTTGTATTGTTCTAGTCTGACAATTTGATGTAGCAGTTATAGATGTGGGGTGCTATCCTGTTCGTGAACATTGTACCATTTGCAGATGGTTTTAGTTATATTTGACCACTGCTCATGTAGAAGGTTGAGGAGGAGCCCTTCCAAGTTTTAGCTATGTGATGTGCTATAGCTCTAGCTGATGTGAAGAGTTCCGTCCTGAGGTTGACATTTTGTTGAACATGTCCAGTTTATCATTCTGTCAATGTGCGCTTTTGCTCCATTGGTTATTCTAATCACTGTAGTGTTCGCAGATTGTCGATGCTTTGTACTCTTGCGCTTCGATTTGAGAGTTAAGAAATGGTTCGTGCTGATTGGTTGAATTTCCTATACGTGTTGTATATTTGACCATTTTGTTGATACGATAAAATTAATCGTCTTGTGCTTCATGTATGTAAAATACAACGTGCCTTATTGATAAGCATTTGACAATGTGCAAAGGAATAGAATGGCAAATCAATGGTCTGGTTTATTTCTCATCTGAGAAATGTTGGAACCGTGAAAGTTGAAATCTTAAATCAGAAAAACTTTATGCAGCACGTTTGGGGTTACGACAGTCCAAAATGAGATGACTCTCACATCTTACTGTTTTAGTTGATATTCAAGGTGTTCACATCGATACCGACAGGATGCACACTGTTAACTGCAGCCTCATCGAAACGGTCCCCATCCTGCAACAGCGGCTTCATCAGATCTTTGGTTCCTTCCTTCAGCATCTCCACAACGTCTTGCATGGACGGTCTCTCTTCAGGTAAAATTTCTGCACATAGTGCTGCAACCTGCCAAAGCAGACTTGCCCGTTAGCAAGAGCAGTGTAAAGTATTATAATGAAACCATTTAATCCATGTGAAGAATGCGCCTATTAAGTACCTGGGCTAGTTTGTTGAGATGGTCCTTGTCAAATTTGCCCTCCAGCTTAGCATCAACCAAGTCATGAATTTTTCCTTGCAATATTAATGGCCGAGCCCAATTCATGATTGCTTGCTTTTCTCCGCTTACTCGTTCGATAGGCTTCCTCCCACTAATGAGCTCCATCAGCAGAACACCAAAACTGTAGACATCACAGGCCTCTGTGACTTTTCCTGCAACGGTCTTTGGAGCAGTGCATCCGGAGATGCCCTTCTGAGCCGAAGAATTGGGAATGAGCTTTGCCAAGCCGAAATCGGCCACCAAGGCGTTTAGGTTTTCGTCCATGAGAATGTTGCTCGCTTTGATACCACGGTGGACGATTTGTGGCGTGGCATAATGGTGCAAGTAGCTGTGCATCAGAACAGGGATTTAGATCAGTTAAACGTCAAGTGCTGTGCTATTGATTTCAAGATTGAGGATTGAGGTCGGATTCTCTTACGCAAGGCCTTCTGCGGAGCCAACTGCAATTTTCATCCTTTGGTCCCAGTCTAAGGCGGAGTCGGCAGCGAGGTGGCCATGTAAGTGCGAGTAGAGGCTCAAGTTTGGCATGTACTCATACACGATCAAGCGTTCCTGGCCTTCTGCGCAGTAACCCAACAGGCTTAGGAGGTTCTTGTGTCGTACTCGACCGAGAATTTCAATTTCGACAGCAAATTCTCTTTCTGCTTTCGTGCTCCATACTTTCAACCTTTTTACTGCAATCTGCACCAAGAGCACACCGTCGATTAAGGACTCAATACGTGAATGATTTTCTGGCACAATAAATCATGCTGCGTTCGCAGGAAGCCGTAACTGCACTTTCTTCCAACACAGTAATCCAAAAGCAGCAAAAAGCTAATCAAGTGTGTTCAATGGTAATCAAGTGTTTTTCAAGTCTGGCTTACTTGGTCGCCACTCGCAAGTTGACCCCAGTAGACGCTACCAATAGTCCCTTCTCCAAGTTTGTTGTCATAGTTGAAGTTGTTAGTGGCCGCATGCAACTCTCGTAATGAAAACCTACGCCATGTTCCAGGTTTCTTGCCGTCCGCAGGTCTGCACAGACTGTTCAATCTACCGTTTAGAATTTGCCTTATCATTGTTTTGAGATTGCAATAATTTCAATACTCACTGTTTGCAATTACAGTTCTCAGGACTGTGCGAAGGATTTCGTCTATGGATAATGCTGATGAGAAAGAGGGTTATGTCACTAATTAGGTGCATGACAGTCCTGCAAGTCTCGCCGTTTCAATGAACCGAAAAGATCCAACCTGAGGGACAATCTTGCTGCCCAGGTAGTTTTGTCGTTGGCAACAGCGGTAGCCATCATGCAAGGAACGGGTTGATGTCACCTGCAACTTCTATTCATTGTCCAGGAAAGTTGAGGTGAAAAGGCTGACGCTAGAATTCTTAACTCAGATCCCGTTTTCTATTGCGTTTGAATTCTTTTGCCTACGTATCTCCACCAGCCATGCGCATTATTCTCCAGTCTTTCAAGTTTTTCCACCAAGTATGCAGCTATGCAATATCTTACGATGCAACCTAGTATTTGATTCTACCCAATAAACTAGATTCTGTGTAGGAAGTTGATTCTAGAATCAGTAGTGGTTTTCTAGATTCACTGCGCATGCATTGTTCACAAATGCTCTCTGATCATGAAGGGCACAGAAATGACGAACGCAGATAGTTTTGCAGCTCTATGACCAGTTTTCAACGATACTAATCTTCTACTTTATATCTCCAGGTTCTTACTTGTTATCAGCAGCCCTGTAGCACCAATACTTCGCCCACTGTATCCGCATCTTCCTCCTTAGATATCAGCTGCACCATAGCTTGGCGGCTCACACCACTTGAAGCACAGCAGTCGAACTCGCAGTATAGCGAATTCATGCGCGGCTAGTCACGAACGCTGTTGAAGGCATTAGAAGGCAGCGATGGGATAGGTTTGTAAGATGCTATAAGTCTTCTCTTGCACATGGGTATCCGAGATGGTGGACTACCTCACATGGTATTGCTGAAAAGCCAATCACCCTCCAATACATTCACAGTCTGACAGGGGGAGTGGTGGAACGTGTGCAGCTTTCTGGCATGCAGTGGCAGGCAATAATGAAGGGTACTCCAGCTGGTATTAGGTAACATGAATCTCGGTGGGTCTCTGGCACTGATGCTTCAGACTCCCATCGCTTACTGTTTTGTGTCAGTGAGGCAGACGCCGGTTATAAGAAATGTCAGAAATCTTGACATCCTCCATGGATAACGACGTGCCTGCACGACTTGGACAATTTCAATGCAAGAAGGAAGGAACCATTAGCAACATAATGTGCATGCTTAGCTCCATATTATGATACTCCAACGATAATTTTTCATTTCTGATTTATTATGTGTGACTGACATGCATGGAAGATTCTTTTTCTATTTTAATCCTGTGGTGTTTATTACAGATCCGACTTTGGAGCTTTGAATGAGCAGGGTCACAATGTTCGCAGCCTACCTTGACACCCACGTCCACATTGTGGGTATTACTCATACACTACAGTAGTGCACTTACACTACAATTGAGGTACTGACGAAGTAAATGGACGTTTGAATTCTTTTAGTTTCCTGCTGCACATGCTCACTTAATGAATTTCAGGTACGAAGCATGTTACTGAATCTGTAATTCTACGCTGTTGAAGAAAATAGACAACGTGACCAACAATAAGTAGGATCACCTCCGCAGAGTATTTAGTCGAGAATCACAGCTTTGAAAAGTCACGAGAAGAGTCAAATGTGAATTTCAATTTAACTCACACTAAGATCTATCTCATACTTCTGTCTAAATGTCGAAATGATGCAAGGAAGTCGGGGATCAGGATCACTAAGATCCATGAGAAGGTTGTTTTCATGTCCGGATCATGAATTGAAGTCTTAACTGGTTGAGAAGATATACAGATTCCACTTAATTCATCACTTCATGAAACAAGTGAAATCTCAAATTTAGACTGAAATTACTACCGCTACCACTAGGTTGAAGTTATCAAGTGCAGTGCAGCTCTGGTCATCAGAAACTACTCTTTCGAACAGAAATATGAAAAGATATTACATAGAACCGACAAGTAGCGTCTTTTAAAATACTGCTGATGGTAATCTTTGCACAGATGAAGGCATATGCTTCGCTTGCAACCTGCTTAAGAGCATTTCTTAGCTCCTCAATTCAAGCAACACGAACCTCCTGGATGTTGAGCGGCCCCAAAAATATTCGTTGCTTCCTTGCCTACACTTCTTGCATCTCTTCTTTCATGTATCTTTGCAACTTGAACCATGAAAAAAGCTCAGGAGAAAAGCCTAAACCTTATTATCACTCACCACTTACACTCACCATAAGTTAACAATTAGCATTGTGTAACAATTCATTTATCATGCTTGAAATCCTGTATTGGTTCACACTACATTTTGTACACTACCCTCACACTAAAGCTCCGAAGTTGGACGTCTTTGGTCTGACCAATACGGTTTGTTTACATGATTACCTGCCCCTCAGCAGCGGGCTTCCACATCGACAAAGACAAATCATCACTGACGCAAATTCCAATAGAATGTTGACAAGCCAGGTTAATGTTTGTTGGTCAGTTCTGAAGCAATGTACTCACAAAAACAGAAATGCCAGTTGAAAGTAATCACGAACTTATATTACTGCATTTAAGGACTCACCAAAAGAAATGCCTACTCCAACTTTGAGAGAAATTAACCTAAACCTGCCACATAGAATCCACGAACTCGTTAAACCAGAGAAGGAGACAATTTACATTAGAGAGCAGATACTGCACAAGATTACTTCAGAGAGTTGCGCAATCCTATTGAAATCAAGGCTTTTTGATTGTTGCTGATGAGAGAGGAATTTACCTAGACTTTTAAACAATAAATTATATATATATATATATATATTCTCCCTCGTAAGTATATCAACACCAAATTACACTTATTTTCGAATCCTCAAACAAAATTTCCCAACATTCAGGCAGCCTTGTAAATCTCCCACATGAGAAGCGACAAACAAGCATGCACCTAGAAAATTCACTATACATTTACCACCTCTTCAATGAATGGCTTTGCACGTCAATTTCCCAGTCTCGCTTGTCCTCTTCACAGAAACCGTTTTGGCGAACTTGTCAAAATCCACATACTCTGGAGTGTCACTACAACTGCGCAAACAAGAAATCCTCTCAGCTACACTTGCATACTGAAGTCTGGAGAGACTTCTCAAGAAGCCTGACATAGTCCAGTGCAATTCATATATGACAGAAAATTGACCACATCCGAGCATTTTCTGTAGAAAATTAATGGGAATAGCCCATCAGAAGGAAAGGATAGTAACAGAATGGACAGGAACACAATCATGTACCCCCATCCCTAGCTCCACAAACCAGTCAAACTTGGTGTCCGAATTCAATGATTTCCTAGGAAGCGTGATGACTGGCACAAATTAGTAAGATCTCAGTACAAAGCCGTATGCTTTAATTATGACGAAATGTCCGTTGCAGCAGTTACCTTAGGGTTTTTGTATTGAGCAGTGTAAAAACTCCTCTTTCAGAACTTACATATTCACGATAAAAACACGAAAGTCGTTATTAACAAGATGATGATCACCAAATTGAAGTAAAGAAGTACCAGAAATTAATTGCTCAATTGCTGGGTACGCAAAAGGAGCAGCAAATTAACCACGTCCTTCAATTTTATCCATCGGAAACAACAGTAAAACTGTGCTGCCCAAGCTTATGGATGTAAGCACTGCAACGCCATAACCTGAGGTGCTGTACCATCAGCCACAACACCCAGCTTCCAAAGTATTTCACAGTGGCGTGAAAATGCATTCCGACAAGGATACATGAGAACCACTCTTCAGAACACAAAAAACACCCGTCAGCATAACATTGAGGTGTCTTCCAAGACACTGCGCTTTTGTTAGAACATTGCTTCACCAGAGAAGGCATTAAGATAAAGGTAATTGTTCTCATTATCACAAAGATGCGGATATCAGAGAGAGATAGAGAACAGCAAATTCATGAGTAGAATATAAACTGTAGACATTAACAATAGTCCAGAGCGAACTGTACAATGACATGCAATGCAAGTTAGGCAAGCCAATAATGTATATCATCAGGACGTTCAACTTCATGGAACAAACTAATGAAATAATCTTCTTGTAATGGTGATTCTCACACCTGACTTGAACGCATGCGCTCTTCCAGTACGCTCAGCCACATCTTCGTCAGAAGTTGCAGGCACTTCCTTTTGCTGCACCCTCCCTTCGGACCCACTTGCAGTGGAGGTCTTAGCAGATGAAAGCTTTAGTTCCTTCACAATTGGTGTAATATCCCCAACTTTACAGTCCACACTTCGATGCTGGATGTGGAGTTCTTCAGAGGTAAAAGCTGTGACTATGGAAGACACGATCTCTTAATAGATCTAGTCCAAAGGAGAAAAGATAAAGAGAAAAACCCAGAATAGACATCTCTTTCTCCTGCAGATGATCTAGTGCTCGTAATACAGTTGCACGAATCATTCCAACCTCATCACAAAGTTATGTAGTGATTTTATACCATGCTCTCATAACGAAACACGAACATTTAAGTGTGTCGAGACTCACCCTGGTGATGAGTTTTATGACAAGAAGTAAGGTAAGAAGAGACTGAGAGGTTACTCCAAGGACTTGTGTCCTGAATGGCTTGCGAATATCCGCAAGCTAGAGGCTAATTGACGACAGAAACTTGATATTTAATTCTCAACTAATACAATGCAAGATGATTGGAGCTAGCTAACCTCTAACACCTGCGTAGTTACTGAAGTTATAGAACCTCCTGACAACGGAAACTACGAAATATTCGAAGCTGCTCTTTCTTCTCTAGATCTGAATAACCTCAACTTTAACTGATATCTGAACTCGGGTTCAACTCAGCATGTTACTGGTAATTGTAACAATTTTTCTACTTTAGGGGAGTGCAACGGTAGCATTGACACAGCAAAAGAACAAAGTCACCCAATTTTGGGACAAGGAATTGTTCACTTTACTCTCCCTTCCGATGAAATAAAGAGTATATCCCGTGTTTTGTACATGCTTGGTCTAAAGAAATACCTACTATTGATTGGATCTTTCATTGACTGAGGCATGACAGCGTATTTTGATGAACAGAAATGCATTGTATTTAGCAAGAACAACAAAAAGATCATAGTTGAGGGTGTATGCAACAAGAAAAATGGACTGTATCAATTGGCGGCTCACAATTTGGAAATTATAGCTGTAGCAGCACATGCTGAAATTGACACAGACAAACTTTGGCTCTTCCGCCTAAGGCACATCAGCTTTGACCCTCTGCATGAATGAACGTCAAAAGGTGTGGCAATTGGCATTCCTTACATTCCTATGGACAAAGAAACTTGCTCTAGTTGTCAAATTGAAAAACAATATTGAGAAACTTTTCCAGGCATGAGTATAATTCAAGCAATAGAATACCTATAATTACTATATATGGATCTATGCGGACCCATGCCGGTTACATCCATGGGTGGATTTAACTATTGCATCCTCATCATTGTCAATGATTATAGCCGCTTCATTTGGATATGCTTCTTCAGTGAAAAATCTGCAACCTTCAGTCATTTCAAAACTTTTAAACTAATGGTTTAATTGCAGCTGAACAAAAAGATCAAATAGATCAGATCCGACCGTGCAGGTGAATTCTTATCAATGAATTCACCCAACTTTGCCAAGTCACTTGAATGCGTCATTAACTCACTAACTGTAAGACTCCCAAATAGAATGGAGTCGCAGAAAGAGCCAACCAAAAACTTATTGAAACATCGAGGTGCATGGTCCTACAAGCACAGACTCCAAAGTATTTATTATACAAAATCAATAAATACAGCAGCCTTTATTATAAATCGGTCTCCTACAACCGTCCTTCAAGTAACACCATTTCAATGACCATTTGGACACAAATCTTATTTATCTTTTTTTCGTATGCATGGATCCTGCATCTATGTTTCGATTGATAAAAAAAATAAAAAAAATAAAAAAAATCATGATAAGTTAGATGCCAAATGCAAGTTAGAACTATTAGTCGGCTATGACAATCAGCCTAAAAGATACTGAATCTGGTCATCCATTGACCATAAGATCATTATATCTAGAAACGTCCAGTTCGACGAACCTGGCATCTTGCAAAAGTCACATACTGACAAAGGGGGTCCATCACTCATTTCTTCACCCGAAGCATCTGCGCCACCAAATATATCAACACCACTTATATCATCCAAACCGTTGTCTGCACCAATCTATGAATTGTCCCGAAACCATAATGACTTAACTTATTATATACCCGATCTCAACAATAGAGTGGCGCTCAATGAGCCCGAGGACTCTCCGGATCATGATCTACTTCAACAGGTGCCTCTTCAAACCCAATCCCAACCTCCTTGAACTCGACAGCCTTCCATTCGTTTAGGGGATATTGTGATATTTTCGTGCCAATAAATCTCAGCCTCTATAGGATCCGAGTTTCACATAAAATCATCAGATCTACTCAAATTCAACAATCCCATCGAACTGGATTGCTTCTTCGTGATCGC